CGCTCCAACCGGAAGGTACCAAGGAGACATGACAAAATGCAACGGGGGTTCCTGGACTGAGCCTAAGTCAGAAAACGGACATTCGTGGAAACACATGAAATGCAAATACAACTGACAGATTAGTTAACAGTACTGTGTCGATGTTAACTCTTTCGTTTCAATAACTGCACTGAGGTCATGTAAGATGGGGAGAAGCTTGGTGAAAGATATGCAGAAACTTTTTTTTTTGGGCACTATTTTTGCAAGTTCCTGCAAATTTAAAATTATTTCAAAACTAAATTTTTTGTTTGTTTGTTTTTGAGACGGAGTCTTACTCTGTTGCACAGGCTGGAGTGCAGTGGCACTATCTCAGCTCACTGCAAGCTCCGCCTCCCAGGTTCACACCATTCTCCTGCCTCAGCCTCCCAAGCAGCTGGGACCACAGGCGCCCCCCACCACGCCCATCTAATTTTTGTGTATTTTTAGTAGAGACAGGATTTCACCGTGTTAGCCAGGATGGTCTCGATCTCCTGACCTGGTGATCTGCCTGCCTCGGCCTCCCAAAGTGCTGGGATTATAGGTGTGGGCCACCATGCCTGGCCTCAAAACTAAAATTATTTTTTTAAATATTCCTCAGAGGAAAGGCGTCACATGTTAGAAGACAGTTAATCGGTATTCAGTCAGCTGAGGCTTTTCTGTAGATGTCTTTTTAGAGGGCAAGCACTAAAGCCAAAAAAAGCAAACACTGTCACCAATTCCACTTTAAGTTTTTATCATTAAAGACTAGCAGCCAGGCGTGGTGGCTCAGACCTGCAATCCCAACACTATGGGAGGCCGAGGTGGGCAGATGACCTGAAGTCAGGAGTTCGAGACCAGCCTGATCAACATGGAGAAACCCTGTATCTACTAAAAATACAAAATTAGCCAGGCATGGTGGCACATGCCTGTAATCCCAGCTACTCAGGAGGCTGAGGCAAGAGAAATCGCTTGAACCCGGGAGGCGGAGGTCACGATGAGCTGAGATCGCACAACTGCACTCCAGCCTGGGCAACAAGAGCGAAACTCCATCTCAAAAAAAAAAAAAAAAAGACTGGCCAACACGAAATGCCAAGGCAGTGGTCCCAACATCTGCAAGAACACCTCCTCTGACAAGAGCGAAACTTCGTCTCATATTTTTCCTCCTCCCTCTCACTCTCTGTAAAGATGTCCCATGAATAGCTGAAATTTTAAATGCATGAGCCACTCCAAGCCATTCATTACAGACACCAACACACACTGGTGAGGTCAGCTGCTCCCAGAGACTGGCTGGAGGAGCCACGAAAGCTGGACACATCTCACCTCGTCGTAATTGGTGTCATTTAGATCCTCATCGTCATCGTCAGCAGCCTGGTTTTTCTTCATCTGGTCCCCAACGGTTCTCTTGCCTGGGGGCGCATGGCGATCATCCACGGGATCATTTGCATCACGGGCGGGCCCGATGTCTGACCGTGTGGTGAAGCCAGTGGCGCTGCAGGAGACCCCCAGGACACCCGGTATCTGAACAACTCTGTTCCTGTGCTCTTCTCCACCCCTGGTCATCACTTACTAACACCTCTTTTTCTAACACCTCTGGGAAACCTCCAAAGATCCTGGTGACAATGAACTGCTACTGATCTTCTCTGCTTACCTGAAGGTTTTAGCCTGTCCTGACGATGTTACCAAGGCAATCTCTCTCCACCCTAAGGTTTCCATCATCGCCCCCTCCACATCCAACTAGGCCCTTAAACCCAAGTTGGCCCAAACTGAGGTCCTCTTCTGTGCCCACCTTATAGCTGCTCTGGGGTGTTTCAGCTGATAACAGCACTGCTGTCCCAGAAGACATAATCTTTGCCTCCCTCTCCCACTTTCCCCATCCTGTCTGTGCCCAAGTACTAATGAATCCACCTTCAAAATCCCTCCTTCCCAGACTATGACTCTCATCACAGCTGGAAACCAAGGTAGCTCTCCCTGCCTTTAGCCTTCTTCTACTTCAACCCATGCTCTGCCAGATGATTCTTTCCAAAACACAGCTCTGACTAAAAAATTCTGGGCCGGGCGCAGTGGCTCATGCCTGTAATTCCAACACTTTGGGAGACTGAGGCAGGTGGATCATGAGGTCAGGAGTTCAACACCCCCCTGGCCAACATGGTGAAACCCTGTCTCTACTGAAAATATAAAAATTAGCCAGGCGTGGTGGTGGGCGCCTATAATCCCAGCTACTCAGGAGGCTGAGGCAGAGAACTGCTTGAACCGGGGAGGCAGAGGTTGCAGTGAGCTGAGATCACGCCATCGCACTCCATACAGAGCAAGATTCCGTCTCAAAAAATAATAATAATTCTGAAGGGTCATGGTCTTTCTAATGCATCCAGGAGCTGCAGCCTGACGCTCAAAGCCTCTCCAACTTCCTGAGCTCTTTTCTATTGGTTGCACATTCCACTCACACTGGACTCCCTCCTGTTCTCTGGGCTTCCTCCTTACCTCACTTTTTTCCGAACTCCCGCACACAGAATGTCAGTTTCTCTTTTATGGCTACCACGTTTCTGCAGCCCTAAGTCCAGCTCTCCTACTAAACTTGACTCCAATGCTACTCTCCACTAAGCATTGGGTTCTAAATCTGGTCTTCTTTACGTGCTTATTTATGCTAATACCAAACCCTCCTTAGTGAGCTTCTGGTCCTCTGAAGATGCTGTCACTATCGGAGCTTTGTGTGTGCCCCACAGATTCTAATATAATACAACCACCAAGAAAAACCCAGTGGTTTTCCTCATTAAATGAAGAGCCAAATAGGGTAATAACGACTGCTCACTTATCCAGCAACGTATGGTGGTCATCTGTGTTGCAGGCAAGGAGGACCCAGGCACGCTTAAGGCGGGGCGGGGCGGGGGGGTGTGTCAGCCTGACCTGGGGAAGGTGGTCGCGTGTTTCCACTACACATCAGATTCCTCTACACCTCTCTGCAGACTGCATACATCATTCCCCATCTTACAGACCAAAACACTGGGCTGAGAGCCAACATGTCCCATCTAGGCGGCAGGCTGGGTGCACACAGTTACGTCCTGACCCCAAAGCCCGTTGCTTCCTGCAGGGATTAAGCCGATCCACCAAGCGTCTTTTAGACAGCGCGGCCACAGACCCCAGCCCCCAAACACGCGCACTGCGCTCCGCTAGCCGGGTCCCCGCCCCTGGCGCGCCGCTCCAGGCCTCACCCCCGGCCCAGCCCCGGCACGTAGCCGAGCGGAGCGGGCATCCCCAGGAACGGCTTCTTCTTCTTGTTCATGGCGGCAGCGACGACCAAGGATAGGAAGCAACCGAATGAGGCAGCGGAAGAGGGGAAGAAGCAGAGACCCTAGGCTTCGACGTCCGAGGCGCTCCGTAGGAAGGTGTCGCGGACGTCGCGTCACCCGCGCCCCGGAAGCAGAGCCCTCAGTACGCACACGTCCCGCCCACTTTTTTTAACTCCCCGGGCGGAAGCCCCGACGTGCCGGTTCGACGACTTCCGGCCGCGGCTAAGGGGCGGGGACGTGGCAGGCGCGTGCGCGGGAGCGCCTCCTCGTGGCGAGGCGGGAAGAGCCAGGCCGAGCCTGCGCTGGGACCCTAACAGGCCCCGGGGGGCCAAAAATAGCCTGAGGCATCGCTCCTTCCCGAGTGCTCTCATGCATTCCCGAGGAGACCTGTCTGTGCCAATAGGACCCATGGTCCCCTCCCTCTGAACCAGCCCAGCTGCCCGCCCTCGCCCCGGGTGGGCCCTGATCACTTCCAAGCAGAGCTGTATCCTGTCCAGTTGTGCAGAGCTTGTGTGTACTGGTTATGGGCACACCTGTCTGTGTGCGTCCTGGGCGCGCACTGCTGCCCTAAGCTTTCAGCACTCATATTCTTTTTTGTTGTTGTTATTGTTGAGACGGTGTCTCGCTCTGTCGCCCAGGCTGGAGTGCAGTGGCGCAATCTCGGCTCACTGGAAGCTCCGCCTCCTGGGTTCACGCCATTCTCCCGCCTCAGCCTCCGGAGTAGCTGGGACTACAGGCGCCCGTCACCACGCCCCGCTAATTTTTTGTGTTTTTAGTAGAGACGGGGTTTCACCATTCACAGGATGGTCTCGATCTCCTGACCTCGTGATCCGCCTGCCTCGACCTCCCAAAGTGCTGGGATTACAGGCCTGAGCCACCACGCCTGGCCTAACACTCATATTCTTGAACCCCCATTCATGCATCTGTCCCTCCAGTGGGACTAGAGACCCCACCCACGCCCGCCAACATGCCTTGGACATTCTGGTGAGGGCCACATCCTCAGCTCCTGGAGAGCTAATTGAAATAAACAACCGTAGTTGACCTGTAGGGAACACGTCAGCACATGAACATGGCTGTCAAGCATGTGGGTGAATTCTATGTGTGTGATTAGTGGTGTATGATTAGTGTGTGTGATTAGTGGGGTGTGTGCACACCGAGGTCACGTGTGCTCGTGTTCTGTGTGCACGTGCATGACTGTACTCTGTGCATGCATTTCTACATGTCTGTGTGCATCTCTGCTCCTTCTGCTGTAAGACATCTTCCAGAGCCCCTGCATACACCCAGGGAGAGCACCCAGGCTCCTGGGCAGAGCAAGCCGAATAGCTAGTTGCAAGCCTGGCCTGCTGCTGCACCAGGCAACCACGGTTCCCCAGGCCAGCCCCATCCCAGCACTTCTCACTGGAGTCCTGGAGCAAACACACCGCTCCGGCCTGTTACAACCTCCTTGGAGTTCCTCTCTGCCCCATCTCCAGGCAAGCCCCTTTCAGTTACAGAGCACTGAACCGCCCCCTCTCCCCCGGGCACTGAGCCAGCTTCTGGGGCTGCAGGGGGAAGGGAGAACCACCCTGATGTTCACAGTGGGGTGGGCGGTAAGCAAGAGTCAAGCTGGTTTCTCCGGGGAAGCGGGTGCCCATTTGAGAGAGAGCAAAGAGGTAGGAAACCAAGGGAAGTGTGTGGGAGGGGTTGATCTGCCCCTTGTCCTGGTTCCGGTGGGTAGAAGGCCCCCGTAAGATGCTCCTCAGCCCACCCCCACGCACAGAGGGGCCCGACCTCAGAGGACCCCCGGCAGGTGCACGGGGGCTCTTCTCCGCAGAGTCGTGCCCAGGGGCGCACGGACGCCCCTCGCCCTGGCGGACAGCCTTGGCGCACGCAGGCCCGCGCGCCGCCGACACACCTCGGAGCTCCCGGAGCGCGCCCGGCACACAGGGCTCGGCGGCAGGTGCCTCGCCGCGCACACTCGCGGGCCGCGGGGACCGGCTCGGGCGCGGGGCCGGCTGGGGCGGGGCGGGGCGGTGGCGCGCGTTCCCCGCCGGCCACACCGGCCGCCCTGCACTCGGCGAGGGGCGTGTGCGCGGGCCTGGCACCCGCGGGCCCCATGTTCACCGAGCTGAGGTCCAAGCTGAGCCCCCCGCGTGGCCGCGCCGGGGCCGTGCGCGCGGGCTTCGGGGAGCGCCGGGATGTGGACGGTGAGCGGGGCTGGACCTGGGCGCGGGGATTTCGCGGGCGGGGGTCTCAGGGACCCAGAGGCACGGTGGGGGGGCGGGACCCGGCGGGTGTCGAGCGGCGGCGGCGGCGGCTGGGGGTATTCGGCGGATGTCTCGGCTCAATGGGGTTCCGTGGCCTTTGTCCTGCTTTCCGGGGCAGCCAGCCTCAGGCCTTGGGGGTCAGGGCGCCCTTGGCTTGGGGTGAGGGGGTGACAAGCTGGGGCGCCGGTGTTCAGGTTGGCACTACGCTCGGGTCACCTTTTCCTGCGCGCGGAGAAAACCCTCCGCAGCCTTTGCAGTGGGGCCGAGAGGGGGCCGAGGTCACATCCCGCCTGGGTGCCGCCGCCCCATTTCCTTCTGGAATCCTGACGTTGAGGCGGGAGGGACCGGACCGACAGACCGCGGGAAGGACGGAACTCCCTCCGGGAGTGCGGGCAGGAAATGGGCGGAGCCTGCTTGGCCTGGGCAGGTGCAGTGTGAGCGGAGGAGTCCGACGGGTTCCCCCGCCTGCCGCGCGCTTCTGCACCAGCCCCGCCGCTGCAGGCCCTGCAAAGCCCGGAGACCACGGTGCCTGTCCGCTGGAAGGCGCAGCCTTAGAATAAATCTTTTCCCACAGCAGTAGGAGCTACCTCGGGGCGGTGGCCCACTGACCACATCCTCTGCTGACCCTAGACCTCAAATCTGGAGTCACCAGGGGTCCTGTTCCTGAAAGTTGCAAGAATGGGGGAGGAAGGTGTTAAGTCTCTTAAGTCTTACAGGGGTGGGAGGACGGGGGAGTAGGATGTGGTTTTCCCCCAATAATCAGACCTCCTAGACACATCCTCAACCCCTGCCCTGGGTGTGGAGTGGGTGGCTGAGTCTGGAGCCAGGAGGGCCTCTCACTCTAGGGTGGATGGGGTGAGGGCCCTAGCATGGGAACCTCACCTGCCCTGCTGAAGTCCTGGGTGCTGTAAAGACAGGGGCAGGCCTTCTGTCTCCCCACAGGCTCTGTTCACTTGCAGACACCATACAGAGCCTTCATTCATTCATTCACTCACAATGAATGTGGGGTGCCCCTATGTAACACGTGGATCAAGGCACCTGCCTCCCCAGACTCAGGTCAGCAGTGCCCCCAGAGATGATGATAAAGCTCAGATGAGATGCTTTAATGCAGTTACTGCAGGAAGAGGGAGCACAGAGCATCACTGTGGGTCCCCAAGCAATGGCTACACCCCACATACCTGTGCTGACCTGCCCATATCCAGTGGGTACCCACCATTCATACGGTGCAGGCCCTGTGGGAGGCAGCACGGCTGGAGAGCCCAGCGCATGTTTGTGGAGTGAGGCCTGCTTGTGGGTTGGCCCAGAGTTCAGGCTGTCAATGAGTCATAATCAGTAAGTCAGGCCCCAACGCCAGATAGGGCTGTGTGAACTGGGTTTCTTCAATGGCGACGGGCAAGCAGCATCCTCAGCCCGGTTTCCCCAGCACAGACGACCTCCCCAGACTTGGGACCTGCCTTTCCTCAAAGCAGGCTGTGTGTGCACTTCCTGGTCTGGTGTGGTGTGTGCAAGGCTTGTGGGCCAGCCCAAGGCAAGGGTGAGGTCAGGGCTGTCCCAGGACAGCTCCTCCTGCCATATCTGAGGTTCCCTTCCCTTGTGGGCACATCCTCTGATCTAAGCAGAATCCATCCTGCTTCCCAGAGTGAGGGCTGTAGACTTGCAGGAGGAAAGGTGTTTCCAGTTCTCTTTTTGTGCTGGGTGAGGTCCTCAAAACGGGTCCTGCACACTTCCTTCTGCCTTTGGAGGCTTGGGAACCCCTCACTGGCGAAGTGATTTCCCACGCTAGTGTAGAGGAGATGGGGCAGGGAGCTAGCTCTCAAGTAGAGGAAGCCTCTGGTTCTGCCCTTGACTGCCCTGACCAGGCACCCACACACACAGCCACTGCCCACTTCAGCTTCTGCCAGACCCTCCTGGAGCACACGGTGTCAGCTGAGAGCATCCCCTGCCACTTGCCTGGGACACCTGGCACCAGTCTCACATGGCATGACTCCCGCAGCCAGAGGGCAGCCAGCAGCAGGCCAATCAAGCTCCTGCAGCAGCCCGGCACAGAGACCCCCCAGGTACCCACCCCCTCCACCCACCTCCATCCCTGCCCTCCCTCTCCACCACTCTCATTTTGCCTGCCACGCCCCTCCCCTGCAGGGCCGGCTGTACTCTGATCACTATGGCACCTACCACACAAGCCCCTCGCTGGGCGGCCTGACCCGGCCCGTGGTCCTGTGGAGTCAGCAGGATGTCTGCAAGTGGCTCAAGAAGCACTGTCCGCACAACTACCTCGTCTACGTGGAGGCCTTCTCCCAGCACGCCATCACCGGTACAGTGGGGCTGAGGGTGCTGTGGGAATGGGGCTACCTGCCTCAGAGCATCTCCTCCCCACACTCAGCCTGCCTTTCTCTTGCTATTGTTTTCGTCTGTCTAGTTTCTTCTGTGAATCCACCTTCCCTCTGGTCTTCATCTCTGCAGAATCTGTCTTTTTTTTTTTTTTTTGAGGCGGAGTCTCGCTCTGTCGCCCAGGCTGGAGTGCGGTGGCCAGATCTCAGCTCACTGCAAGCTCTGCCTCCCGGGTTCCCGCCATTCTCCTGCCTCAGCCTCCTGAGTAGCTGGGACTACAGGCGCCCGCCACCGCGCCCGGCTAATTTTTTGTATTTTAGTAGAGACGGGGTTTCACCGGGTTAGCCAGGATGGTCTCGATCTCCTGACCTCGTGATCCGCCCGCCTCGGCCTCCCAAAGTGCAGGGATTACAGGCGTGAGCCACCGCGCCCGGCCCCGAATCTGTCTTTTTTATCTCTTTGCCTTTCTTTCTGTGTCTCTTCCCATCTCTCTGTGCTGTCTTCATCTGGCTTTTCTCTGTTCTGTCCCTGCCTTTTGCTCTTCAGCCTTTCCCTCTGCCTCTCTCCCTCTAAGTTTCTTTATCTGTTTCACTGATTCTCTTTCTCCCTCTGAGTCTCCTTGTACCCCGCTTCCTCTCTCTCTCCTCCCTCTTTCTCTTTCAGTCCCTGCCTGTGCCTTCACTCAGTTTGTTGTTTGTTTGTTTCTGAGAAGGAGTCTCGCTCTGTTGTCCAGGCTGAAGTGCAATGGCACAATCTCGGCTGACTGCAACCTCTGCCTCCCAGGTTCAAGTGATCCTCCTGCCTCAGCCTCCTGAGTAGCTGGGACTACAGGCACACACCACCAAGCCCAGCTAATTTTTATATTTTTAGTAGAAACAGGGTTTCACCATGTTGTCCAGGCTGGTCTTGAACTCCTGACCTCAAGTGATCTGCCCTCCTCAGCCTCCCAAAGTGCTGGGATTACAGGCGTGAGCCACGGCACCAGCCTTGCCTTGGCTCTTGATGCCTCTGTTGGCCTCAGCTCAGCCCCTCTTCCCTCTCCCCAGGCCGGGCACTGCTGCGGCTGAATGCGGAGAAGCTGCAGCGGATGGGGCTGGCCCAGGAGGCCCAGAGGCAGGAGGTGCTGCAGCAGGTGCTCCGCCTGCAGGTGCGTGAGGAGGGGCGGAGCCTGCAGCTGCTCAGCCAAGGTCAGTGTGAGGTGCCAGAGAGGCCTGGGGGCTGATGGAGAAGCCCCTCTGAGTGAGGGGTGGGATGACCTCAGGAGGGTGGCTGTGGGCCCCAATAAGGGCCCTAATGCAGATGATGCCGAAGACCCCCCCCATCCTCATCCTCTTCCACCCCACAGCTTCCTTTGGGAAAATGTCCTAGCTGCTGCTGAGGCTTGAACCCAGACCCCAGCACTGTGACGGGAGTCCACGGCTAGGGAGGAGGCAGAGCTGGCCCCGCAGCCCCTCTTGGACCCTGCAGGATGCTGGGGCGGTCAGGCTGGCCCAACGGACAGACAGGACCAGGATCACCACCTCCCGGCGCCTCTGGTTGGACATTCCAGGTCATGCCCTGGGGCTGGGTGGGTAGGGGCTGCTTGAGTGTGGCCCCACCTCCTGGGACCTGAGCCCAAGCCCTCCCCTGGTGCTGCTGGCAGCATGTGGGGCAGCTGCCTGGAGCCAGAGCCGGTTTGGATGTCCCCCCAGACTCCCAGGGAGTCTGTTTATTTACATTCCCCTCTCCACGTGATGTCCATCCCTCATCGCCTGCTGAGTCACCTGTCTGTCCACCCACCCAGCCCCAGTTCTAGGCAGTTCCCCAGCACCTCCAGGTTGGCCCACACAGGTGCCATAAGTTGCCTTGGCTCCCTGTGGCTTGTGCCCATGCCCCTGCCAGAGCCCAGCAGGCCCATCCATCATCTAGAGCAGTGGCCATCAGCACCTGCCCAGCGGCATTATGTCAGGCACTTTCATCATTATTTATACATCCTTACCACACCCCCTCTATTCATGAGAAGAAAGCTGAGAAAGGCCCAGATTGACCAAGCACCAGAGACAAAATGTGGCACAAGGACCTCAGCCCTGTCCAGGTGGCTCTGTGCCCAGGGCCCAGGCTCAGCAGTGCTCCCTGCCCTATCTTTGGGAAAATCTTGCTTTTACGGTCGTCCCCACTCCCGCCCTCAAGAACAAGGGCCTTGTGCGTGGGCTTTCCCATTGCCGCTTTCCCAAGAAGGCCTGTGAGGATTCAGGGGAGAGGCCTCCCCAGGGCCGCTTCCCCTACACCCACCCAGAGACCCGAGCAACCCCTCTCTGGGTGGTTCAGGGCTGGTGCTGCCTGGCAGAAGGACAGTGAGGGCAGCCCTGGCCAGCCCCGCCCTCTTGTGCCTCTGCCCTCTCCCGATCCCCTCGGGGCTTCTGAAAATCTCAGGGACAGATGAGGCTGAGCCCCCAGTCCCCTCTGTGTGCTTTGAGCCTCCAGACTCAAGGCTGGTCACTGCGGGTCCCAGGTAGAATTTGGACAACTGGCCTGGCCGCTCCCCTCCCGTAAGCCCCCAATAAGGGGAGACCCTCATCCCTGCCCCTGTGTGACTGCCCAAGTATTCTGCCTGCCTCCCACCATCAGCCCTCGCCCGGGATGCCCTTCCGCCTCTGCTCCCCTCCCTCCTCCTCTGTCTTGCCCTGGCTCACGCACGCCTGTCTCGTCTTCCTTGTTTTGTGCTCACTTTTTTATACTCTGACAAAAAAATAATAATAATAATCAGAAATAAAGCTGGTTCCCAAGTGCTGGCCATGCTGCGTCTGCGAGAGGCGTCCGGGCAGCCGCGGCCACGAGGGGGCAGTGGCGTCGCGCCCCGGAGAGGCGTCCGGGCAACCCCAGCGCAGAGGCTGGAAACAGGGCTCAAGCCACGCCCGCGCGGCCCCCAGTGCTGGACACGACGCCCGGCACGCTGGAAGGGACAGCCCAGACAGCGCGTGAGGGTCCTGCAGCTGCTATGACAGAGGACCACCGAGGGGTGCTGAGAACAGCAGACACTCATTCTCTCACAGTTCTGGAGGCCGCAGTCCAAAATCCAGCTCTCCCCGGGCCTCCTGGGGAGACTCCTCGCCTCTCCAGCTTCCAGTAGCTGCCGGGAGAACTTGGGCTCATGGGCATTACCCGTCTCCACCTCTGTAATCAGATCACCTCCTCGTCTGTCTCTCAAATCTACCTCTGTCTCCCTCTTATAAGGATGCTTGGACTTAGGGCCACCTGGGTAATACAGGATAATCTCCTCATCGCAAGATCTTTAATCACATCTGCAAATACCCTTTCCCAATAAGATCCCATTCACACGTTCAGGGATAACACACGAACATCTGGCCAGGCGCGGTGGCCCATGCCTGCAATCCCAGCACTGTGGGAGACCAAGGCAGGAGTGTCGCTGGAGGCCAGGAGTTCAAGACCAGCCTGTGCGGCATAGCAAGACCCCATCTCTACAAAAAACTTTGGAAACTAGCCAGGCATGGTGGCGCACACCTGTAGTCCCAGCTACTTGGTAGGCTGAGGCAGGAGGATTCCTTGAGTCCAGGAGTTCAAGGCACAATGAGCTCTGACCACACAACTGTACTCCAGCCTGGGCAACAGAGCAAGACCCTGTCTCAAACACACACAGATCACAGCACACACCCTGACACACACACACACACACACACACACACACACAGAGCAATCAGACACATAAGAGCTTAGAGGTTGGCCAGACGCAGTAGCTCACGCCTGTAATCCCAGCACTTTGGGAGGCTGAGGCAGGTGGATCACGAGGTCAGGAGATCGAGACCATCCTGGCTAACAGGGTGAAACCCCGTCTCTACTAAAAATACAAAAAATTAGCCGGGCGTGGTGGCGGCGCCTGTAGTCCCAGCTACTTGGGAGGCTGAGGCAGGAGAATGGCGTGAACTTGGGAGGCGGAGCTTGCAGTGAGCCGAGATCGCGCCACCGCACTCCAGCCTGGGCGACAGAGCAAGACTCCGTCTCAAAAAAAAAAAAGAAGAGAACTCAGAGGCCACCACACACAGACACTCATACACAGAGACGCAATGACACTGACACCAACAAACACCAACAAACACAAACACGTGCATGGAGTTGGCCAGACACACAGACACAAAGGTATATAACAGCATGTCCCCATACAAAGATGTCATTACACAAATACACAAATACTAGCATGCAGACACACAATGACCTCCTAACACGTAGAAACACACGGGACACAGCACATCCCCGGCACACAAACTCAGTGTATTACACAACACCCTGGCATGTTGATGCCCACAGAAAACAGCCGTCCCTCACCAGCACCCTGACACTGAGACATGCCACAGCCTGGACACATGGATGCTGAAATCCAGACACATTGTCCCCAGGCACCCTGATGTCTAATCACCCAGATACTAAAATACAGTCAGGCATTGCCCTCACCTAGCACAGGATACTGTCATATCCTGACACGGCAATGTCCAAACAGGTCGCATGTATGGACACCCAGACTTACACAGGGAGAGCTGACGGCCTTGGATGCACCTAAGGGGACACACACTGACCCCTCAGGAAATCCTGCTGGTCCTGTCCCCAGGGTGGGAAAGGTCAACAAGGGAAGAACATGATGCTAGCCTTGCAGGGAATGCCCTCCCCTTCCTCCTCGGGTCACACAGGCTGATGTGCACTGGCCTGTCTCTGGCTCAGATTCCCGAGGGAAGGATGGACTGACTGCCTCTTTCGCAAGAGGCAATCTTGCTGTGAGTGCTCTGTGCCAGCCTTGAGTGAAGCAGATCCCAGGCCCTTTTGAGGAAAGACAAAACTCTCACTGCCCAACCCCCCCAGCAGTGCCTCTGAGCTTGCCCCACAGGGGACAGGGAAAGGGGCCCACTGGGCCGGAAGGGCCCCAGTGAAGGAGGCACACCTGGTAGCTCCATTTCCTGACCAGCAACTTCCAGCCCACATCAATTTTAAGGAGTCCAGAATATTTGTAATATGCAAAAAGGGGCCTTACGAAACTTTTAAAAATCTGTTTTAATTGTAAAAGTAATATGTGCACATGGTTTTAAAAAAAATGCTGGCCGGGTGTGGTGACGCACGCCTGTAATCCCAGCACTTTGGGAGGCCGAGGTGGGTGGATCATGAGGTCAGGAGATCGAGATCAGCCTGGCCAGGTTGGTGAAACCCCATCTCTACTAAAAATACAAAAAATCAGCTGGGCGTGGTGGCACGTGCCTGTAGTCCCAGCTACTCGGGAGGCTGAGGCAGGAGAATTGCTTGAACCCGGGAGGCAGAGGTTGCAGTGAGTGGAGATGAATCCACTGCACTCCAGCCTAGGTGACAGAGCAAGACTCCATCTCAAAAAAAAAAAAAAAAAAAAAAAACTGCTCTGTGGGCACAAGATGAAAACCCAGAGTCTTCCTGACCCTTCCCTCCTGAGGTCTGAGGCCTTCCCTGGGAGATGGGCACTGTGAACAGGTAAGAATGGCCCTCCTAAGGCTGGGCGCGGTGGCTTACGCCTGTAATCCCAGCACTTTGGGAGGCTGAGGCGGGCAGATCATGAGGTCAGGAGATGGAGACCATCCTGGCTAACACGGTGAAACCCTGTCTCTACTAAAAATACAAAAAAATTAGTCAGGCGTGGAGGCGGCCACCTGTAGTCCCAGCTACTCGGGAGGCTGAGGCAGGAGAATGGCATGAACCCGGGAGGCGGAGCTTGCAGTGAGCCAAGATCACGCCCCTGCACTCCAGCCTGGGCTACAGAATGAGACTCTGTCTAAAAAAAAAGGCCCTCCTAGCCAGAGGCGGTGGGTCACACCTGTAATGCCCACACTGTGGGAGGCTGAGGCAGGAAGACGGCTTGAGCCCAGGAGTTCAAGACCAGACTGGTCAATAGAGAAAGACCTCGTCTCTACGAATACTTTAAAACGTAGCCAGGTGAGGTGGCACACCTGGAGTTCCAGCTACTTGGGAGGCTGAGGTGGGAGGATTGCTTGAGCCCAGGTGGTAGAGGCTGCAGGGAGCCAAGATCACACCACTGCACTCCAGCCTGAATGACAGAGCAAGACCCTATCTCAAGAAGAAAAAAAGAAAGGAGAGAAAGGAGAGGAGGGGAAGGGAGGGGAGGGGGAGAGAGGGGAGGGGAGAAGAGAAAGAAAGAGAGAGAGGAAGGAAGGAAGGAAGGAAGGAAGGAAGGAAGGAAGGAAGGAAGGAAGGAAGGAGAAAGGGAAGGGAGGGAAGGAAGGGAGGGAAGGAAGGGAAGGAAGGAAGGGAGGAAGAAGAAAGGAAGGGAGGGAGGGAAGAGAAGGAAAGGAAGGAAGGAAGGAGAAAAGATAGGAAGGGAGGAAGGGAAGGAAAGCAAGAGAAGGAAGGAAGGGAGGAAGGGAGGGAGGGAACAGAAGAGAAGGAAGGAAGGAAAGAAGGAAGGGAGGGAGGGAGGGAAGGAAAGAAGAAGGGAGGGGGGGAAGAGAAGGGAGGGAAGGAAAAAGGAAGGAAGGAGAAAAGGAAGGGAGGGAAGGGAAGGAAGAGAAGGAAGAGAACGAAGGAAGGAAAGAAAGAAAGAAAAATAAAGAGAAAGAAAGAGAAAGAAAGAAAGACAGACAGGACAGGACAAGACAAGAGAAAGATAGAAAGACAGGACAGGACAGAACAGGACAGGACAAGACAAGACAAGACAAGACTCTCCTGGGGGAGATTCTTGTGGGTCCTGTGCTAGTCCTGTGTGGGGCCTCCTCCGTCCTCTTTAGGAGAGCTACACCTTTCTCTGCCTCATTCAATTCTCAAGTCCTGTGCTGTCAGTGCCCAGTCGCCTCCAGACCACTCAGCCCACACCGGACCCCAGTGCCCCCTGCAGAAGCCCAGGCTGTGGGGCAGGGAAGGCCCTGGCACTGGTTCAGAACCACTGCCCCCAGAGCTGGAAAGGTTGACCCAATGGCCAGTGACCCCAGTAAAGCCCCATGGTCTCAAGCCCCCAGGCACCGCCAGGGCCCAGTCGCAAAAGTGGTCTCAGGGCCGGCTGGAAAGAGGATGAATTCTGCTTTGCCGGTGCACGGTCCCCAGGGCCAGAGGTCAGGGTCTCGAGCCCAGAGACCACCCTCGCCGCGCGGGCCAGGATGCGGCGGAATCAGGTCGCCTCAATCCGTGCGCGCCGGACTCCGGGCAGTGCCCAGCGCCCCTATCGGGCCTCAGTTTACCCCACTGTCCAAAAAACGCCCCCCGCCCCAGGACGGCAGAACTGGCTACTCTGGACTGCGGGCCCGGCCGACGGGGGCGGAACCGCGGAGGGGGGGACCACAGGCCAGCGCCGGGCCCCCTCCCCGCCCCCTCCCCGCCCCCTCCCCGCCCCCTCCCCGCGGCGGAGCGGCCGCGGGAATAACGCGAGAGTTCGCCCCCTCCCCCCCGCAGTAAAACTGTCAAAGGTGGGAGGGGCGGGAGCGCGCATGTGCGCACGTAGCCTTTCAGCGCGCGCGCCAGCCTGCGCCGCCAGTTGCTTCCCGCGCCCCGCGCCGCGCCCCCACCCCGGCCCGGCCCGGCCCGGCCACCAGCCCCGCTGGGCGCCGCAGGTAAGCGCCCGGCCGCGCCCCGTGCGATCTGGCCACAGCCCGGCGCGCCCACCGCGCCCCGGATCTCGACCCCGCGCGCGGGCCGGGGAGGGGGCCGGGCCGGGAACCCCCGCCCCGCCGCGCCCGGCCCCGCGCCCCGCGCCGGCGCGTCTTCCTGCCTCCTCCTTCTCGAAAAAAGTCGCCATTTTGGTTCCCCTGCCTTGCCCCCCGCGCCCGCAATCAGCCCCTGCCAGCCAGGCAGGACCCGCCCTTGCCCCTGCGCCGGCGCGTCTTCCTGCCTCCTCCTTCTCCAGAAAAAGTCGCCATTTTGGTTCACTGCCTTCGCCCCCCCACCCCGCGCCCGCGATCGGCCCTGCCCGGCCAGGCCCAGGCCCGCGCCCCGCGCCCGCGCCCGCGCCCGGCCCCAGGTGACAGGTGGGTGGCGAGGCTGGCCCCAGGTGCGCGTCCCTGGCCGCGCTCACCCGCGCGCCAGGCCTGGGCCGGGGTCCCGGGCCGAACGGCCTACGCGGCGGACCCGCTGCTGGCGTCTCCTGCGCGCAGCGCGGCGGAGCCCCCTCTCCCCGCCAGGGCTCGGTGTGCCCGCTGGGCTCGGTGGGGCCGAAGCCCCTTCTCGCCCGGGGCGCCAGTCGCGCCTCTGCCTCCCAGGCCGGCCCTGGCCTCAGGTCCCACTCCTCTGAATTCTTCTCCCAGGCTTCAGAAAAATTGGGGCCACCGGGGTCGTCAGGTGCTGGGATGACTCATGCGGACCCTGTCTCCTTTCAAAGTTGCAAAGTGAGGACTTCCAGAGAACTTTGTGCCCGGACACTGGCCTCCCCCTTAGCAATGGGCAGTGACTGTCCTGACCTCTGACCTCAGCTCTCTGGCCCTCCTGGACACAGCAGCCCCTTCCCATCCCCTCTGATCTCAGTTAATTAGAAGGTGTCAGGAGGGGGCCACTTGCCCACCCACCCCTCACCCTGCTTCCTGTCCCACCTCTTTCCGTGGCTTTTCCACAGGGCTGAGCCCAGAGTCTCCTCTGCTCCCCAGCTCTCAGGATGGGGTTCCCAGCAGCACAGGACCTCGGGGGGCCCAGCGTTGGGCAGCAGGGCATTCTCTCTGGCCAGCAGCCTGGGCCTTCACTGCTAGTGCTTCCACTACCTGTTTGGCTGAAGTGGTGGTGATGGGTCTGTAGGCAGGAGACTAAGAAGTTCCAGAGAGAGGCTGGGGGCGGCTCAGCCTGCCAGGCCCCGAGACAAGTCTGTGAAGAGGGTCAGGTAGGATAGCTCAGCCAGTACAGAGACAGGAGCCTGGTGCAGGGCTGCAGTGGGCTGGGGGTCCTCAGTGCCCATCTTGGCTGTTTTCCATCTGTGTCTGGAGAGAAGATTCCAAGGGTACCTGCCTGGGTAGGCTGGCATTGCATCAGGTCTGCCTGGGAAGGTACCAGGACCCCACTGAGAAGCTGTGCCCCCACTGCTGGGCCCGGGCAGCTTGTGAGCCAGCAGCCATCATCGGAGACATAATTGTCCCCTGGAGGAATGTTGCCAGCCTCCTTCCTCCTGCACGAGGCACCTCTCCCGGGGGCACACCCCTCCCAGCATCCCCTCCAGCATCATCTCCGCAGCTATGGGGCTGTGTGTTGGGAAGGGGATCTGGAAGCTGGTGAGGGTCTCAGGACAGGACTAGATCCTTCCAAACTGATGACGCCTCCTGGGTTATCTGGGGAGCCCTTGGCTGGCAGCCCCTCCCCTAAGTCAGAACCCCCCATCACTTGCTTTTCCCACGTGAACAAAACCACAGGAGGGCAGGCCCCTCTTCCCTGACCAGAGAGGACCTGCCAAGGGCGGGGCTCCAGGGCAGCCTCACCACGTGTTCTGAGTGGGGCCCGTCAGGCTTCACAGATTGTCTGCTTGCTCTGCAGAGATGACGGATCCTTTCTGCGTTGGAGGCCGTCGGCCCCCGGGGTCCAGCAAGAGTGGTCCTGGGAAGGATGGCAGTCGAAAGGAGGTCCGACTTCCAATGCTGCATGACCCACCGAAGATGGGTAAGAGGAGTCAGGGCCAAAGTCAATTCTGGGCATGGTTCTGGGCAGCAAGGGGTAGGAGTGGGCCACCTCCCCGCCCCGGGCATCCTGTCTCCAGGTACCCAGCTAGGCCCCTTGAGTTCCCAAGGACCTTACCAGGGGAAGGGTTGCCTTGGACATCGCCCAGGGCCCTGGGTTCTTGTCCTCAGCTGGCCACAGCCCCTGCCCCCGGTGCCCTGGTGTTGGGACAGTGGTGCTCACTGTGGGCCTGTGCAGCCCCTGGTGGTAGACAGTGCTACACAGCTTCCGAGCCTTGCTGTGTTATGTGCTGCAGGGATGCCAGTGGTCCGTGGTGGACAGACAGTGCCCGGCCAAGCCCCTCTCTGCTTTGACCCAGGAAGTCCAGCCAGCGACAAGACAGAAGGGAAGAAAAAGGGGCGGCCAAAAGCCGAGAACCAGGCCCTCCGAGACATTCCTGTGAGCTCCCTCAGGGCCATGGTGGGGCTCATGCTGGGGTCTCCCTGTCCAGCCACTGCCCTGCCCTGATTTGTCCTCTGCTCATCTGGTACCAACTCTGTGCCTCAAGGTGTGGGCACTGGCCTGGCAGGCTTCATGTGGTCTGGCTTTATATCTGGTGTGCTGGGAGATTCTGGGCTCCTAGAACAGGTCTTGTGCATGGCCCCTGCTGGGTGGCTTGAATTCCCACTGTAGTCCGATGTTGAGGGGCTCATGTGATGTGTGCACCCTGCAGGCCCAGGGAGGGCTCTGAGTCTGGGGCTCGGGCTGGCAGTGGCCCGGGTGGCTGCGGGTCAGCAGCACCACCTTTCCCCACACCTAGCTCTCCCTGATGAACGACTGGAAGGATGAGTTCAAGGCACACTCGAGGGTGAAGTGTCCAAACTCGGGGTGCTGGCTGGAGTTCCCCAGCATCTACGGGCTCAAGTACCATTACCAGCGGTGCCAAGGGGTAAGGGACTGTGGGTCAGGGAAGAGGAGGCCTTGGGGTGTGTCTGGGCAGAGGCCCTTGGGGCCCTGTCCCACACCCGCCCTCCCTGCCCAGGGTGCCATCTCAGATCGGCTTGCCTTCCCCTGCCCCTTCTGCGAGGCTGCATTCACCTCTAAGACCCAGCTGGAGAAACACCGGATTTGGAACCACATGGACCGACCCCTGCCTGCCTCCAAGCCTGGGCCCATCAGCAGGCCGGTCACCATCAGCCGGCCCGTTGGGGTCAGCAAGCCCATTGGAGTGAGCAAACCTGTCACTATTGGCAAACCCGTGGGCGTCAGCAAACCCATTGGCATCAGCAAGCCAGTCTCTGTTGGCAGACCCATGCCAGTCACTAGGCCCGTGCCGGTCACCAAGCCTGTCACAGTCAGCAGGCCTATGCCAGTCACCAAGGCCATGCCAGTCACTAGGCCTGTGCCAGTCACCAGACCCATCACAGTCACCAAGTCTGTGCCGGTCACCAAACCTGTACCTGTCACCAAACCCATTACGGTCACAAAGCTTGTGACAGTTACGAAACCCGTGCCGGTCACCAAGCCGGTGACAGTCAGCAGGCCCATTGTGGTCAGCAAGCCGGTGACAGTCAGCAGGCCCATTGCCATCAGCAGACACACACCGCCCTGCAAAATGGTGCTGCTGACCAAGTCGGAAAACAAAGCACCTCGTGCCACAGGGAGGAACAGTGGTAAGAAAAGGTATGGGGCTCGTTCCAGGCCGGGGTGCTCCTCGGCCATGGCCTGGGGGTAATGGGGCCCAAAGTTAGGCCCTCCTGGCCCTCACCTCACCTGCTCCCTGCAGGGCTGCGGACGGCCTGGACACCTGCCCAATTCCACCCAAGCAGGCCAGGCCAGAGAATGGGGAGTTCGGCCCCTCCACCATGGGCCAGAGCTCGGCCTTCCAGCTGAGTGCAGACGCCAGCAGTGGCTCCTTGTCGCCAGGCAGCAGGCCGTCGGGGGGCGTGGAGGCACTGAGGGCTGCAGGCCCTGCGTCCCCACCTGAGGAGGACCCCGAGCGCACGAAGCACAGTAAGATGAGAGCCCCAGGGGTGGCGGCTGGCGCAGGCTCGGCTCCTGACGGTTATTTGACCAGAATCTTGGCCCCCGTTTTCTCTCCCCGAGTCAGGAAGGAAACAGAAAACACCCAAGAAGTTTACAGGGGAGCAGCCATCCATCTCAGGGACCTTTGGGCTCAAAGGTAAGACCCCAGCCCGGTGTGCACTTCCAGGGCTAGGGTACTGTCCACTGAGCGGCAGCCCCTGAGCCCACCCCTGCCTCCCTCCACCCCATGTGTGCACACAGGCCTGGTCAAAGCTGAGGACAAGGCCCGAGTTCACCGCTCCAAGAAGCAGGAGGGTCCAGGCCCTGAGGATGCCCGGAAGAAGGTGCCAGCCCCCATCACTGTCAGCAAGGAGGCACCAGCCCCCATGGCCCACCCAGCTCCAGGTAGGGGCTGCCTGGCAGGGGCTCAGGGCAGCTCTAGACCGCGGGTAGATCCCACAGCACAGGGATGGGGGCTGAGTGTGGAGGCTGTATTCTGTGCCTGGTGTCCAGGCCACTCAGGGGTCCCCACAAGCCTTCGAGGCCCCCACCTTCCCCACAGGTGGCCCTGAAGAGCAGTGGCAGAGGGCCATCCATGAGCGCGGGGAAGCCGTCTGCCCCACCTGCAACGTGGTCACCCGGAAGACGCTCGTGGGGCTCAAGAAGCACATGGAGGTGTGTCAGAAGGTAAGGCAGCTCCCGGAAGGCGCTGGGAGGGAGGTGCCCCGGACCCAAGCAGGCTTCTCACACGTGCGCCATCTGCAGCTTCAGGATGCACTCAAGTGCCAGCACTGCCGGAAGCAGTTCAAGTCCAAAGCTGGCCTCAACTACCACACTATGGCCGAGCACAGTGCCAAGGTACTGTTGGGCCCCCAGCACCTGTCCAGCATGACCTCTGACCTCACACCCCACCTTCACCACAGCTCCCCCAGTTTCTAGCCTCGGATGACGGTGGCCCAACACCTGGGTGGGGCAGGGCCAGGGCAGGGACCTGTGGTGGTGGTGGGTGACCGACGTTCACCCTGTCCCCAGCCCTCTGACACCGAGGCCTCTGAGGGGGGTGAGCAGGAGGAGCGCGAGCGGCTGCGCAAGGTGCTGAAGCAGATGGGACGGCTGCGCTGCCCCCAGGAGGTCAGTGGGGGCCACGGCAGTGTGGGGTGGGGGGGCCCTGCTGGCCACTCACCCACCCTCTGGCCTGACCCCCAGGGTTGCGGGGCTGCCTTCTCCAGCCTCATGGGCTACCAGTACCACCAGCGGCGCTGTGGGAAGCCGCCCTGCGAGGTGGACAGCCCCTCCTTCCCCTGCACCCACTGTGGCAAGACATACCGATCCAAGGCCGGCCACGACTACCACGTGCGCTCGGAGCACACGGCCCCTGTGAGTGGCTCTCCGTTCTGTGGCATCCATTCCGTGGCACCATGCTTGCTCCTGTTTGCCGTGTGTGTTTCGTGTGCCTCGGGTACCAACCGTATTTGTCCATGTGCCGCCTAACGTGTGTGTTTCCCACCCCTCTCTGTAAGAGGCGCGTGTCCTGGTGGGCGGGAGGGTGAAACCTCCCTGTTCCCTCGGGTTGCCTGCATCTGCCGTGTCCCCAGCACACTACGAGGCCTGTGGGTCCACCGGCCTTGGGGTGGCCTCACTGCGTGCCGACCTGCCTCTTGCTCCTGCGGCTCACTCTAGCCTCCGTGCCTTCCTGCCCTTCAGCCCCCTGAGGAACCCACAGACAAGTCCCCCGAGGCTGAGGACCTGCTGGGTGTGGAGCGGACCCCAAGTGGGCGTGTCCGCCGCACGTCGGCCCAGGTGGCGGTGTTCCACCTGCAGGAGATAGCAGAGGACGAGCTGGCCCGCGACTGGACCAAGCGGCGCATGAAGGATGACCTTGTGCCCGAGACCGCACGGGTGAGCTGCCCACCCAGTATTGTGGACAGCGCTGTGGGCTCTGGGCGGGACATGCCTTGGCCTGAGCCTTGGGACAGCCGCCCCGTGACCTGGGCCACCCGTTGCCCCCGCCATCTGTGGCGAGTGTTGCCTGCTGCCAAGGCGAGTGTTCTTAGAGCAGCTGGGGTGTCTCCTGGCCTCGGGCTCACCCTGGTGCTGTCGAATTCACAGCTCAACTACACTCGGCCAGGGCTCCCCACGCTGAACCCCCAGCTGCTAGAGGCATGGAAGAATGAAGTGAAGGAGAAAGGCCACGTCAACTGTCCCAATGATGTGAGCAGAGGCCACCGGGTGGGGGGCGTGGGGACCCACACAGGGACAGAGCCCAGGTGTGGCCCTCAGCAGGAGTGGAGGCTGAGAGCTTTCAGGAGGTGCCCAGCCCACCCCAGGCCTTGCATGCCCAGCCCGCCCAATTCCCAGGACTCACACCCCCTCACTTGCCCCAAAGAGGCCTCAGAGATCCCCTGGGGTAGGGCAGGGGTATATCTTGGTGTGGGGTGCCCACCAGAGGCCCTCGCCCACGGCTGCCTCCCCTGCAGTGCTGTGAAGCCATCTACTCCAGTGTGTCCGGACTCAAGGCTCATCTTGCCAGCTGCAGCAAGGTCAGTTCTGGGGCCTGCCCCATGGCCAAGTGCTGCACTCAGAGATCCCAGCTCACCCCACCTGGCCCTCCCACAAAATAGTGTGGGACCCTGCCCTGCCCCCCACTTTTTCTATGTGGCCTCCTCTTCCACGAACCCAGAGACTGGCTGGTGGCTGATGGCCAGCCTAGGACACCTCCCTCACCCCTAACCCCAACCACAAGCCAATGAGTCCTAGTCCTGTCCTCGGAGTTCTGTGTCCATGTAGGCATGAGTGGGCACCCCGACCCAGGCAGATGGCACACTGGCTTAGGATAAGGGATGCTTAGCAAAGGTCTGCAACTCTTCCCCTGGGCACCTGCCTCTCCCTACCCTTCCTCTCCCCACCACCCCTGCAGCCCCGGCAACCCAGTGACCCCCAGCACTGTCCAGCACAGATAGCCACAGCTTTCCTTTGGCCACCCCTGACTTTGACCCTTTAGCCATGAGTAAGGGCTTAGGACAGATCTGGGTCCTCCAAGGGCTGAGGCACTGGCCTGCCTGTGCATTGCAGGGGGCCCACCTGGCGGGGAAGTACCACTGCCTGCTGTGTCCGAAGGAGTTCAGCTCTGAGAGTGGCGTCAAATACCACATCCTCAAGACCCACGCAGAGGTGCAAGGGCTATCACCAGAGCCTGTGGCTAGCCCAGGAGGGGACGGGGCTGGGGTTGGGTACCCCTTGTGGGTGGAGAGATCAGTGGCCCATGGAGTGTGCCTGGGAGAGCAGCCAATGTGGAGAAATCTGGTAGTTTCTCCTCAAAGTCGGGTCTGGCTTCCCTGGGAGAACTGGGAGGCTTGCACCCTGAGCTGGAGCTGCCCTGAGGGTGTCCGCCTGTCCAGCCCCCAGCAGCCTTGCCGCGGGTGCTTGCCTAGTCCTGTAGGCAGACAGGTCTTCAGCTCTCAGGCTACACCTGGCTCAGGTGCTCAGCATCCAGTCCTAGGTCTTCATCAGCGCTTTTCTCTCCCCAGAACTGGTTCCGAACATCAGCAGACCCACCTCCCAAACACAGGAGCCAGGACTCATTGGTGCCCAAGAAGGAAAAGAAAAAAAATCTGGCAGGTGGGAAGAAGCGGGGCCGAAAGCCCAAGGAGCGGCCCCCAGAGGAGCCTGTGGCCAAGCTGCCCCTGCGCCGGGACGACTGGCCTCTAGCATGCAGAGACAAGGGGGCCCGGGGCTCCGCTGGCCGGAAGGTGGGAGCCAGCAAGGCGCCTGAAAAGTGAGCTTGGTGGGTGGGGCCTGGCCCCCATGCAGCTGCCACACCGCCCTCTGTTCAAGGCAGGGCTAGCTCCGGGACCTCTGTCCTCCAGTTCTCCATCCCCCACCCCCACCTCTTCATCCGTCCAGTGGGGGCAGCCAGCCACTCTCCCTGCCCTGAAGGTGGCCCTTCCCCTGTTAAGGCTGCCACAGGGCACACCTGGGTTGGGGCTCCCCAAGGTGTGTCCAGCAGAAGTGCAATAGCCGGGAGGGTTGCCCCTCCCCATGGGAATGTGTCTGGGGTCTTGGTGCCACAGGGGCTGCAGTGCAGAGCAGGCAGATGGCCTTTGGCCTCCGGGCTCTGCTTCCTCAGGCCCTGCCGGGTCCCCACCCTGGCTCCCTCAAGGCTCAGGCATCCCTGGTGACCTGTGGTTCTAGGCTGGTGAGGGCACCTGAGCGACTGGCAGCCGGCAGCCACCATCCTGGCCTCACCTCCACCCAACACTGGAACTCCAGCACCCCCAGCTACCTCCCAGGACAGACCCCCGTCTGACCACTGCCATGCTGACCCGACAGGCTCCTGCCTGCCCTTGGCCACCCACTTGGTCCCCCTGCTTCTGTTTTCTACCTCTCCAGGGCTGCCCCCTACCCCATCCCTGCCGCTCCTCTGTCAGTGTGATCCCTGCTGTGCTCAGGCCCTGCCCCACAGGCCTGTCTGTGCTCCCAGCTTGGGGTAAGGGAGGGTTTTGCTTCTTGCACCTACAGGGCAGCAGGAGCTTGATGCCCTTCAACACAGCTGCCAGCCCTGGGAATGTGGGGCCCCTGGAGTGTGCTCTCCCTCCAGTGTTCAGCCTTCTGGCACTGCAGGCCTAGGTTGGAGCAGCCTCATGGAGTAGGGATGGACTAGTTTGGGCTCTGGGGTCTTCCTGGGGCCCACGGGCATGTGGGGTAGGAAGCTGGGCAGAGCTGGCCTGGCTCTGAGTGGCCACTGGGGGAAAGGCAGCCTTCTGTCTGGCAATCTGGGTAGGCCCAGTGGCCCAGCTCTCATGGGAGGCCCCTCCCCACTTTTTTTTAACCGGCCCCCGTTGTTTCTGGTCGTGTGGTCTGATATGGGAACTGAAGGCCAGCCAGGGGAGGGGTCGGCCAAAGTCACGCAGGCTGATGGCAGCTCCAGAGTTGTCTTTGCCCCCTTTGTGCCCCGGGGGACGGCTGGGTCTACAGGTTGGGCAGGGGTCAGGCAGGGAGTCCAGGGTGCCTGGAAGAGGGGGCCACAGCCTGTGGCTGCCTCCCTGGGGTCCTGCCTTCCAACCACAGCGTTGCAGGGAGGACGAGGCTCTGAGGGGGCAGCTTTGGAGGGAGGCCGTTTTCCAGGGTGGGTGGGAGTGGGCTGAGGGCTCATCCCCACTGACCCTGGACGATGTGAATTTTGATGTTTGCCCGTGTGCGTGTGTCTCCTGGGTGTAGTGGATGCCAGTCTTGTTGCTGTGACAAGTAACAACCTTTTTTTTAAATTGTTTTTTATACAAAAACTCACAATCTGACATTTGGTGCTAAGGGTTTCCTGGTGCAGACGGTGGGCCTGGGGGTTGGGCTGGGCCAGGGCGTGGGTCTCTGGGCTTTGGGTCCCTTGCTGCTCAGGGAGGCAGTACTGGGCACTGCCTCTGCCCCCAGCACCCACCCTCACCCATCCCCCAGGGAGAAGGGGCCCCACTGGGCTCGGCCTGCAGTAGTAGGGAGACAAATTCCAGGAGCACTTTGGGGACTGGGGTTGCAGTACACTTCCTGTCTCTGGCTTTATCCTTGGGCCAGAAGGCTCTGACCCTCAGCAGCCCTTGCCAGATGTGCTAGGGAGGGGTGTGGAGACCTGGACTCCCCCACCCATGCACACCTGGGCCTGATGAGAGGATGGAGGCTTGGGCAGAGATGGGCGTGACCCAGCGTCAGAGGGTCGGGGGAGGCTCTCCTTCCTGTGTCCCAGAGCTTCACTGGTGCAGCCTGTGGGGCTGGAGGTGGAGGGTGGGGTCTGACAGCTTCTGCTGGGGCAGCCTCGGGAGGGGAGGGGAGGGGAGCAGGCACTGGGCAGGGGCCTAGGTGCACTTTGTCCTTGCCACCAATGGCGGGAGGAGGGTGGACCTGAACACCTCTGCAAGGTGTCGCGCGCCTGCCCCAGCCTCTCAGGTACTTGGCCCTTGGGGAGGAGAGAAGAGGGTCTGGTTTTTGCTGGGGGTGAGTTTCTGGGACACTCCCAAAGCCCACAGATAATCCCTGGTGTGGGAAGAGGAGTCCTGGATACCTTGATGCTTAGCACTTTAACCCCCTTTGTCTTTAAGGTAGGCGTGGGGGCTCCTGTCAGAAGTGGCTGTTGGGTCTGACCCCTCCTTTCTTCCCTCCCTCTCCCACATGCTGGTCTGCAGAGCACTCCTCCCAAGGGGTAGGGCCCTGGGTGGAGCTCAGCAGGGTCTGCCCACTCCCTACGCTGGCCCACATAGGCCTCCAGGAGCCCTCAGTGAGAGGGACCAGCATAGCAGACCCCCAGAGGGTGGTGGGCGCCGGCCCTGCCCGGGACCCAGTCGGGCCCTTTCTGCAGCTCTACCTCTGGCTCAGCGCACGCCCCCTGCCCTGAGAACAGGAAAGGGCCCGGAAAGGCTGACTCACCGAGCCGACACTCAACGAAAATGGGATGCACTTTATTTGCTGGTGCAAAGGCAGGTGAGGGTGCCTCCTGTGTGACCGTTGACCCTCCTGCCTGGTGGCGCTGAAGGGAAGGAGCCAGTGAGCCTGACCCCGGGAGGGGCCGTCCCCGCGTGCCCTGTTTGGCGGGCCCCAGGCGGCTCCCCCAGGCCGGGGTCTGGGGCCCCAGGCTCTCCCCTGCCTCGCGGCCGCGCGTCCTGTGCTTTGGGTTTCTTGGTTTGGGTTTTTTAATGCCAGTTCTCAGTACATAAGTGCATTTTGAAAGAGGTTCCAGCTATCACTTGTAACCATATATATATACATATATATTCTATCTACAAAGTGTTTATTTGCGAGATGTTTCGACGGTGAGTTCGGGCCCCGCCCGCCTTGTGACCATCTGTCCCCGGTCCTCGTCCCCGCCCCGCGCCCTGGTCCCGAGTGGCGTGCGGACGGGCCATCACTGTATGTATTAAAATGACTGTATCAAATAAATGTTTATTGATTTTTTTCCAGGGTTTTTGTGCGACTGAGTTTGTGGTGAAACGCAGGGGGCGGGGCCCTCCGGGCACGTGGTGGCGGCGGTAGAACTACGGGTCCCGCGTGCCCTCCGCGCGGCCTTGTGGGGCTTGTAGTCCGGGACGCGCGGCCTTGTGGGGCTCGTAGTCCGCGACGCGCGGCCTTGTGGGACTCGTAGTGCGCGACGCGCGGCCTTGTGGGACTCGTAGTCCGCGGTGGGCGGGAGAGGGAACCACCAGCTCCCGGCGGCCCACGCGCGCCGCCCGGCCCAGCCCGGCCCGCGGAGAGGCCTCCGAGCGCAATGGCTGCGCCCCCGGCCCGCGCGGACGCCGACCCCTCGCCCACGTCGCCACCTACGGCCCGAGACCCGCCAGGCCGGCAGACTGAGAAAAGCGAGACCGCGTGCGAGGACCGGTAGGCGTGGGCGCCGCCTCCACTTCACTGGCGAGCGGGAAACGGGCCGCAGCCCTGGCCGAGGTGGGAGGGTGGTCAGTCCTCGCCGCGAGCCCAGCTCCCCCACTCCCGGAGGCCAGGCGGCGGCGCCCCGTTCTCCCACGTGCCGGGCGGAACCCTGCGGGCTTGAAGCGGCCGGGAGAACGGACCTGGCCCAAGACGGCAGGCTTCTCGGAGCCCGGGGAAGGAGCCCGGGTGCGCACCCCCAGCGTTGACCTTGGTCTCTGCCGCCAGTGGGTGGGGCCCTCGGCCTTGAGCACCCAGCGGGCCGTGTGCCTGCTCTACTGTGCGAGTTGCTCAGTGTTGTCCGCTCGGGGTGTGGCCCGGCCCGACCCGCGAGGCCAGGGCTCGGGATTTGGGGGTGCGGCGGCGCACGGTGCCTTCTGATTGCCCCTCACGCACCTTGGAGGCTCTGCTGGGGCTTTGCAAGAGCATGAGGTGGGGAAGTTGTGGGGGTGCAGCGGGAGGAGGCACCCCACCCGAGCCCTGCGCGGCGCCTTTGCGGCCGTGGCCGTCAGGGGGCGGTGGCCACGCAGTGCCCGGGGCTGCAGGAGGGCGCTCTGGGCGCTGCCCCTCCCTTCCCGTCTGAAGTGTCCCTTGGGGAGCCGAGGGGTCCCCATGGAAAGGATTGATCCTACTCAGGCGCCTCTTGCCTGGGTTCAGGCTGTGACTGGTCAGAAACGCTGTAAGCCAGGACTTCCTCAGAGATGGGCTGCGCTGGGGGCCGCCGGGGGAAGGGTGTCCCGGCACAGGGTCGCTCTTCTCCAGGAGCTGCTGGGCGGAAAGAGCTTTCCCGTGGTCCTGTGTCCTTTCAGTCCATACCCTCCTAGTGGGCAGTGACTGGGAACTTTGCATGGCTGGAGTCTAATAGGACCTGAGTCTGTCCTCTGTTGATTCTAAAGAGGCTTTGTTTTGTTTGTTTGTTTTGTTTTGAGATGGAGTCTCGCTCTGTCGCCCAGGCTGGAGTGCAGTGGCTGGATCTCGGCTCACTGCAACCTCCGCCTCCCAGGTTCACGCCATTCTCCTGCCTCAGCCTCCCAAGTAGCTGGAATTACAGGTGTGCGCCACCACGCCCGGCTAATTTTTTTGTATTTTTAGTAGACAGGTATTTTGTCATGTTGTCCAGGCTGGTCTCGAACTCCTGACTTCAAGTGATCTGCCTGCCTCAGCCTCCATGGGATTACAGGCATGAACCACCGTGCCCGGCCACCAAAGAGGCTTTGTTTTAACCCAAGGTGGGGCAGGCCAACGCTAGACAAGCACTGAGGGCTCTTGATAAAGGCACTCCCAGATAACACAGGTTGGTGGCAGCAGCCATCTGGGCCTGCCCTGTGTACAGACAGTGGGCTGGGCACAGTGGCCCTCGCGGTGTCTGAGGAGGCAGAGACTGCTGTTATATTTGTTTGGTGTGGTTACCAAGGGACAGGAGGGAAGCTGCAGGCAGTGAGGATAGATTGCGGCACCCTTCTCCAGGGGCCCCGGTTTGCCCTGGAACTGCCTCTTGTCTTAGACAAATTTCTTGCACTTTGTGTCTTGATGCTTGTACCATTGCAGACTTCCTCTGCCCCAGCCTAGGGCTTTTCTCACTGTTCCCCGAGTGTGTCCCCCAGCGTTCCTGCGTCTGCCCCTCTTCAACCTCTGGTGTTGCCCTTGGTGTTCCAGAGCAGGCTCCAGCTTGGAGGTCTGTGCACAGGTGGAGGTCTGTCCCCAGGGCTGGGGCTCCTCCAGCACCATTCCAGTTCCTCCTGCCGCGTCATCCCAGCAGTCAGTCTGTCCGTCTCGCCCGTTGCTTACTGTCTGCTTGTCACTCATGACTCTGTCCCGGGCACCTGCCCCAGAGCTGACCCATGCTGGTGCAGGAACAGGTCCTTTGTGGTGTTAGCAGTGACTCCTGGCTGCGGTTGAGATGGAGTCTGGAGCTGTGGAAGTGGGGAGCAGAGGGAGGCTGCCCATGACCTGTGCAGAGCAGGTCCTGCTGAGGGAAGGTTTCCAGAGTGGTGGCGTGGGCCAGTGCAAGTCCCCAACCCCCCAGTGCTCGTCCCGACTGAGAAAGCTGCCCTAATGACTCTCCCAGAGTCAGTCCAGCACAGGGGTCAGGCCAGCGTTGGCTCCTGTGGGCTAGCTCCTCCCTGCTCCCTCCTCTTTCCAGCCTCTTTTTAGTTATCCCGCAAACTTCCCTTAAACCTGACCTGTCAGGAGGCGCCGTGCTTCAGGCACCCAACAGGAAGGTCCGTGGGCAATGGTGACCCCACGGGTGGTAGAACAGGCCGGAAGCACAGCAAGGGAGTACCTGAGCCTTTCTTTCTCCCTCTGTGCTCTCCTGCGGCTGTTTCCTCGGCGTCGGTTTCCATGCCCGGCGCTCCCTACTGCTGGATGTTTGCTTCTGGTTTCCTTCACATTGTGGATAGTTGGTGAGGGGTAGCCCTGCCTCCAGTCTCCACACGTGCCTGGGCTTCTTTCTGTCTTTCTTTCCTTTCTTTTTTGGAGACAGAGTCCCAGGCTGGAGTGCAGTGGTGCCATCTCAGCTCACTGCAACCTCCACCTCCCGGGTTCAAGTAACTCTCCTGCCTCAGCTTCCCGAGTAGCTGGGACTACAGGCGCCGCCACCACAACCGGCTAGTTTTTTGTATTTTTAGTAGAGACAGGGTTTCACCGTGTTAGCCAGGATGGTCTCCATCTCCTGACCTCGTAATCAGCCAGCCTCGGCCTCCCAAAGTGCTGGGACTACAGGTGTGAGCCACTGCACCTGGCCCATTTTTTGTATTTTTAGTAGAAACGGGGTTTCACCATGTTGGCCAGGCTGGTCTTGAACTCCTGACCTCAGGTGATCCACCCACCTCAGCCTCTCAAAGTGCTGGGATTACAGGCGTGAACCACCGTGCCCGGCTGCCTGTGCTTATTTTATTATTATTTTTTTTTTTTTGAGAGGGAGTTTTGCTCTCGTTGTCCAGGCTGGAGAGCAGTGGCGCAATCTTGGCTCACTGCAACCTCTGCCTCCCGGGTTCAAGCGATTCTCCTGCCTCAGCCTCCTGAGTAGCTGGGATTACAGGCATGTGCCACCGTGCCCAGCTAATTTTTGTATTTTTAGTAGAGACCCGGTTTCTCCACGTTGGTCAGGCTGGTCTTGAACTCCCTACCTCAGGTGATCCACCCGCCTTGGCCTCCCAAAGTGCTGGGATTCCAGGCGTGAGCCCCGCGCCCGGCCGCCTGTGCTTGTTTCTTTACGATGATGACACTCATGGGGCCCTTACCACTGATGAGGCGTCTGCCTTGGTCTTTGTGAGCTGGTGCTGGGATTCCAGGCGTGAGCCCTGCGCCCGGCCACCTGTGCTTGTTTCTTTACGATGACGACACTCATGGGGCCCTTATCACCGATGAGGCATCTGCCTTGGTCTTTGTGAGCCGGCCCACCTGTAATGCACCTGCTGTTGTCCTTGGGGAGGAAACTGAGGCAAGCCATGGCTCTGTGGAGGGGACTGAGCCACACTCGACTGTGCTGTGGCCCAGAGTAGGATGGCTGAAGGTGAGGGAGGGGCAAGAGGTGCCCAGAAGTGGCTAAGGCAGCCTCCAGCACCACTGGCCTCAGCCTCACCTGCAAGGAGGAAACCTTAGGCAGAAGGTACCCTGGGCAGTGCTTACCCCAACACGGTGTCAGCACCTGTGGGTGGTGTGGGAATGGGAGTTCTCCGGACCGGCCCAGCTCAGCAAGTCAGAACCTGGGAGGAACACCAGTGAATGGGACCAGGGCAGGCCACCCCTCCCCGCTGGGAGCAGCCCCTTCCTGCCGTGGGCTGCTGTGGCCGAGAGCAGCCTCCTGGAGGGGCATGTTGGGACCACGTGGTCTGCAGCGAGGCAGCGTGACTGGCCTGCCCAGCATAGTGTTGGCTTCCACGGGTCTCTTGGCCAGCTGGGGCAACCAGAGCATGCCCATGCCAGGTAGACCAGCCTGAGTCCACTCTGCTGTTCAGACAGCCCAGCCAGTGACACGGCTCCCAGGAGCCCGGGCTCCGCGCCCCTGCTCAGGACAGCCTCTGCCTCCCCGGCCCTGGGCTGTCTCCTGCCACTTCCCAGGTGAGGGGTGTAGCCGCCTCCGGGGAGCAGAATGAGGAGAGGAAGCACCTGTGGACACAGACAGATGGGCCCGTCCTGCCTCTGAGGCAGCTCCCAGGAGTGGCCTACTTTTCAGGAGTATGAGCTCCATGTGGAGTCTTCCCTTTTCCCTGAGCTCCTGGCAGCCCCTGCCTCAGTACTAGAAGCTCCAAGAGAAACCCATGGTAGGAGGAAGCAGACTCCCATGGTAACCTGTCCGCCCGGGAGAGCTTAGGGCTGCCAGGACCTCTGTGCACATCCTTGACAAATTCTGCTGAGGGTGGGGCGGAACCCCTGTTTCTGTGGGCTCTCGGAGAGGTGACTGTGTCCGCGGTGCTCTGCTGAGCCCTGGGTGCTGAGCCCTGGGTGCTGAGCCCTGGGTGGTTGCAGGTCCCTGCAGGATCCCCTGTGAGTGGGGGCAGGGCAGGGCAGTTATTTTCAGATGGTGCCAGAGGGTGGAGTTTCAGATTTGTTTATGCCGGTCAGAAGCACTTTGGGGCTAGGGATGGGGTGCCCAGCTCAGCACTGACGTTCGGGACATCTGGCCAAGAGGCGCCTCAGATTTCCCTGTCCTGCTGTGGGGGGTTCACTCTGTAGCCCCAGGCAGGCCAGGGGACTGTAGCTTTTTCCAGGGGATCCAGGAGGGGTGCAGGCACATGGCGCAGGGTGGTCCTCCGCAAGCCTGCGGCCCTAGGCTGGCCAAATGTGCCAGCGCACACACAGGAGGGGGCAGTTCACACCAAGGGCTGGCCCGAGGATTGTCAGGGCCACACCAGGCAAAGCCAGCGCTATTAATATCAGGCACACACAAGCCCCCAGCTGGGTGATCCTCTTATGCCTGTGGCCTTGGCCTCTGAGGACGGCAGTGAGTG